CTGAAACAGTGGGACCATCTGACACGATCAGATCAGAAGGCCTCAAGCAGAGGATGCCGGACAGTGCAGAGTGGGTTAGAGCAGGGAGAGCTTGAGGCGGACAGGGGCTGGATAGGAAGCTGTCACCAATTCAAAAGCCATGGATGTCTTGGTCCCTGTGAGTAACATAGGTGTGAAAGGAAGGAGACTGATGCAGGAGACTGTGATCTAGAAATCCAGAAGAATTTTGCGACCAGCTGGACAGAGGGCTAGCACTGAATTCAATGATGACAGCTCTATTTGGAGCCTGGATGATTCTGAAGGGGGATGGGAGTCATTAACCATGACATAGAACCCAAGAGAGCCATTGAGATAGAAGCTGCTTGAGGAACCATGGGACAGCCAGGGGAATCTTTCTCCCTGTGCGTGACCAGGTGAATGTTTAGCTCTGGAGAGAACCCAGAGCCAGAGACTGGGAGACACCTGCCTCCGGATGAGAGTCACAGCAAGGGAGTGGTGGACGTGAGCAAGAGAGAGTTTGGAGATGCTCAGGTGTCTCCTGGCTTAGTAGCTAGATGGCGAGGCAGACACAACCATGCCTGGTAATAAGGGCTGGTTTGTGACTAAGCAGACCAGAGCAGAAATCCAGGAATAGACTAGAGTGAAAAGGAAACTTTCACATATGATAAGGATGACATTGCAATTTGGTGAAATAATAAAGGACCTCTTAGCAAGTTCTGTTAAGACAATTAAGACCCTTCTGCATTTTGGAACTTAATAGAGGTGTGGTTGCACAACATGGTGGATATACTAAATGCCACTTACATGGTATGCTTTATCATGGTTAATTTTATGGTATTTGAAGTTAAAAAAAAAAAAAGAAGAACCATAGGGATACCAAGATAAACTCCAAATGGATCAAAGATTAATGTGTAAAAAATGAAACTATATTTGTGATAGTTGTTGGTGATGGTTATACAGTAATGTGAATGTACTTAATGCCTCTGAACTGGACACTTAAAAATGGTTAGTGTAAGTTGTATGTTGTGTGTATATTATCACACACACACAAAAAAACGAAATGAGCCGAAGCCGGTTTGGCTCAGTGGTAGAGCATCGGTCTGCGGACTGAAAGGTCCCGGGTTCGATTCTGGTCAAGGGCATGTACCTTGGTTGTGGGCACATCCCCGGTAGTGGGTGTGCAGGAGGCAGCTGGTCGATGTTTGTCTCTCATCGATGTTTCTAGCTCTTTATCTCTCTCCCTTTCTCTCTCTGTTAAAAATCAATAAAATATATTTTTTTAAAAATGAAATGAAACCATATAATAATTCACAGAAAATATGGCTGAATTTATTTATAACCTTGGGTGGACAAGGCCTTTATTAATAAGAATCAAAATTCAGAAGCCATAAAAAGAAAACAGATAATTTGACTTTTCGAAAATAACAGTGTTTCCCTAGCTGTTCTGGCTCAATGGATATGGCATTTGGCCTGTGGACTGAAGGGTCCTGGGTTTGATTCCGGGCAAGGGCACGTACCTTGGTTATAGGTTCCTCGGCCCAGATTGGAGTGTGTGCAGGAGGCAACCAATTGATGTGTCTCTCTCACATAGATGTTTCCCTCTCCCTCTCCCTCTCCCTCTCCCTCTCCCTCTCCCTCTCCCTCTCCCTCTCCCTCTCCCTCTCCCTCTCCCTCTCCCTCTCCCTCTCCCTCTCCCTCTCCCTCTCCCTTTCACTCTCTCTAAATACCAATGGGGTTAACCAAAAACAAACAAACAAAAAACACACACCAATCTTGTGCATAGCTAAACACAACATAAAAAGTCAAAAGTCAAATGACCAAGTAACATACAAAGAGCTTTTAAATATCAAGAATAATGCAAAACCCTGATAGAACAAGCAAAGACATGGATTCTCAGTTTACCTAAACTAAATACAAATGGCTCTTTAAAAAATGAGAAGATGCTCAACACACTCTTACTCTCCTATTATATGAGCAGAAATCCAAACAGCAACCAAGATGCTTTGTTTGTAAGGCTGAGAGAAACAGGCCTTCTCTCTTATGCCTTGCAGATAGAGCGAAACAGCAATTGGGAAATTCGCATTTGGACCGAATGTAAGATGATATTAGGGAGCTACTGTGAATTCCCGCAGGTGGGAAAGTAGCATTGTAGTTGCAACAGGCATGTGAGTTTTAGGAGATGCATACTCAAGTATCTAGGGATGGAGTGCATGATGGCTATGAATTCCTTTTATAAAATTGTTGTTATAAATAATTTTAGTTTATAGGAAGTTTGCAAGAATCATGCAAAGAACCTCTGTATCTCCAGAGCAGGAGCAGGATAGGGAGAGGGAGAGAGAGAGGGAAAGGGAGAGAGAGAGGGAAAGGGAGAGGGAGAGGGAGAGAGAGAGGGAGAGGGAGAGGGAGAGAGAGAGGGAGAAAAAGAGGGAGAGGGAGAGGGAGAGGGAGAGCTGGCCAGGAGCCACTAGGATCAGGAAGAATCCACTTTGGTAAAGAAGGGAAGCCATCACAGGTGGGAAGGCTCAGGAAGGCCATGTTGGTTGGTTCATATATTTTTTTTTTTAAAGAGCGATAGTGTCTGCTCAGTCAGGAGGTAGGTTTGCAGGTTTTCAGCTAAGGGAGAATTTGGAGGAGATGCTGAGGCAAATTTGTTTGATGACTATGTGTGAAGAGGCAGTATGTCCTGTTGCCTGGCTCACAGCTCACGCTCACCCAGCCCTCACAGAATAGGCTGGTGAAGGGCTGCTGTGAGCTGAGTCTAGAGCCAAAGATGTTCCAGCTCAGACTCAGAGGGGCCATTCCTCAAAACACTAAACCGAACTATCATATGACCCAGCAATCCCACTTCTGGGTATATGCCCCCGAAGAATTCAAAGCAATAGTTCAAATAGATATTTGCACACACCTGTGCTCATAGCAGCAGTATCCAAAATAGCCAAGAGGTGGAAGCAACCTGAGTGTCCATTGACAGTTGACTAGATAAACAAAATGTGGTAGGTATTGCATATAGTGGAATATTATCCAGCCTAAAAAAAAAAGAAAGAAAGAAAGAAAGAAATTCTGGCCCAGTCAGTGTGGCTCAGTTGTTGATCTTTGATCTATGAACCAGGCGATCATGGTTCAATACCCAGTGGGGTCATGCAGGAGGCAGCCAATCATTGATTTTCTCTCATCATTGATATTTATATATCTCTCTCTTCCCCTCTTCCTTCTTCTCTGAAATAAATAAAAATATATATTTTAAAAATAATAAAAAATGTGAGAAGGAAATTCTGACACGTGTTATATAACAAGGATGGACCTTGAAGACTTTATGCTAAGTGGAATAAACTGGACACAAAAAAGACAAAACTGTAGGACTCCCTTATAAGAGATTCTTAGAGTAGTCCAGTTCAAAGAAATAGCAAGTAGAAGGGAGAGTGGCAGGGGCTAGAGGGAGGGAACAGGGACTATGTGTTTAGTGCAGGTATTAGTCAGCTTGAGCTGCCATAACAAGTACCACAGACCTGGTGGCTTAAACAGTAGACATTATTTCCTCACAGTTTCAGAGGCTGGAAGTCAGAGATCAAGATGTCAGCAGGGTTAGTTTCATTGAGGCCTCTCTCCTGGGCTTGCAGACAGTCATCTCTCCCTTTGTCCTCATGGTCTTTCCTCTATGTGTGTCTGTGTCCTAATTGCCTCTTCTTATAAGACACCAGTCCTATTTGATTAGGGCCCACCAATGAGTATAGAATTTCAGTTTGGGAAAAAAAGTTCTGGTGAAGGATGGTGGCGATGGTTAAGTGTGAGTGTACCTAATACCACTGAACACTAATACATGCTTAAGAGGGTATACATTTTAGATTATGTATATTTTACCACAATACAAAATTGAGTTTAATTAAATGTAATTAAATTTTAAAAGGGAAAAAATCCTCAGAGAGGCAAGGGAGCTGAGGGCGCTGCTGAAAGGGTGACAGGCCTGGGTACTGGCCTTCACGCAGGGGGCAAAGCACGGTGGGGCTGGGCAGCAGGAGGGTCAGAGGCCACGGGGGAAAGGGGACAGGACAGTAGGAAACACGGCATGACCACACTGAGGGCTGGGCAGCCAGTCTATGTCAGGCAATGCTGAGTCCTCACCTTCTCATCTATGAAACGAATGTTACAGTCGCTGCTATAATCGCTGCCTCGCAGAAGCAGCAGGGAGGGTCTGGGCTGATTCTCTTGCTGTGTGGCCCTGTCCTCTCCGAGCTCTTCCTTTTTGCGATTTTCAAGCAATCGCATCAGCTGCTTTCAGCCTGAATGTGGAAGCCGCAGACAGTGTGCTGTTTCTATAGAGACTTACATCCTCCTGAGAGGAGGGAGGACGCAGATACAGCCTAAGAAAAGAACAGCCCAGAGAGGTGACAGATAAAATTCCAGAGGGATGGAACCTGACCTGGTTTCACTGCTACTTCGTTGAGAAAATGTCTAGCAAGCACACTTGACTATTTTATGTTATGTTTGTCATACTCCCTCCTACGAAGTGAGATGACACTTTACCTGGTGAAAGGCTAACGTGGGAACACAACTGTGAGGGTCAAGGAACTGGGAAAACCCAGGAAAGTGTTGAGCCTCACGGATCTCACTCCTGGCCGCTTTCCAGAAAACCGGGCTTGCTGTGTTTCTCTTTCCTTCCTTCCTTCCTTCCTTCCTTCCTTCCTTCCTTCCTTCCTTCCTTCCTTCCTTCCTTGGGGATGGCCACGGGGAAGACAGCTGGCTGTGGATAGGGGTTGCAGTCTGGTTCACTGTATGATCTTGGCAAGATCTACCCTGTGCCACCCTGTGCCTCAGCTTCCCAATCTGTACAGGTTGGGGAAACTGACCCCCATGTGTGAGAGCGGTTGGAACTGGCTTAGTGAGATGATCCACTCAGGTTCTCGGTGAAGAGCGGCCGGTAACCCTGGCGAGGACACCGCTGCGCTTGTGCAGAAGTCAGCTCTCCAGTCACCGCTGTTCTCTCCTCTCCCTTTACCTTCCAGTTGGCCACGGACAGAGCGAAGGGGAGAGGATGGTAGTGTCCGACTTCCACGTGTTCATCAGGGATGTGCTACAGCACGTGGATGTGGTGCAGAAAGACCACCCGGGGCTGCCCGTCTTCCTTCTGGGCCACTCCATGGTAAGTCGACCACAGGCGATGCTGGTCCAGGTCAGGGCCGTGGCCGTGCGCCGTGTGAGAACACTGGGATGGAGAAGGGGCAAGCGGACTCCCACCTCATCCCAGCTCCCCGCCTGGCTGGCACACCCTACTCTGCACGTGCAGCTCCCAGGCAGTTGAGTGCTTAGGAAACAGGTCAGGTTCAGAACCCTGGAGACAGCCCAGAGAGTTCAGAGCAGCCATTGCTGCCCACCAGGGCCCCAGGCACCAGGGGGTGGTCCATCAGTCCAGTCCTTACGGAGGAGCTGGGTGTGGGCACTGACCTTCGGTTAACCCTGCCTCTACCTCAGTGCTGTTTCATAATGAGGCTCTCAGGGCACTTCTCCCTGCAGAGCCACTTCTCAGAGGTGGGGTGGGGGGATGGGGGTTGTGCTCCAATCAGCGAGGAGCACACGGCATGTGCCCTCACCCACTGCTGGCTTCAGAGCTGCACAAATGGAACCAGGCACAAAGGCTCCCCATGGGCCCGATTTCTCACCGGTCATTCGCCATCCTTTTCACACTTAAAAGTTGTAAAAGCCTTTTAAAACGAACCAAGTATAGTCTTTTTTTTTTTTTTTTAAATATATTTTATTGATTTTACACAGAGAGGAATTGAGAGGGACAGGGAGTTAGAAACATCGATGAGAGAGAAACATCGACCAGCTGCCTCTTGCACACCCTCGCAACCAAGGTACATGTCCTTGACCGGAATCGAACCCAGGACCTTTCAGTCCGCAGGCCGACGCTCTATCCACTGAGCCAAACCGGTCCCGGCTCGAACCAAGTATAGTCTTTAAATTGAGGGTCCTCACACTGGCACATCTCCCTCCCACAAGCTGGCGTGTTGGCTGGCAGAGAATTTGAGCTGCTCGATTTTGAATTTGGGGAGACTGTTCTCTCTAGGGCAGAGCTCCTGGCCCTTGTCACCACCAGGCTCTGTCCCTGAGTTCCTCTGACCTGCCTGGCCCCTGTAAGCACTTACAGTGTCAACCCTCAGTTCAAATGACCTGCAGCTTCAGCAAATAGTCAAGGCCTCAGACCTTCAGCCCTGTCCACATTCACTAAGTACCCAGATTTCTGGAACCTTCACTGAACCGAGGGGCGGGGCGGGGAGGGTAGGGAGAGGGATGGTGCAGTGTAGCAACCTCTTATGATCATCAGATTAAACAAAAACAACCTTTGGTAAGCCTGAGAGAATGGATCCATTGGATCTCTGCCAGCTTTTGGTCTGAGGCAGAGTAGGGATGTATTGTTGAACTTGCAGCCCACACGCAGGAACCTTATTTGTTTCTCTCTGAAATGTTTGCTCCTGGGAAGAAATGCGTAATAAAATAATTGCAGACCCAGCTTATCCAACATTGGATGGCGTCTGTTCCCAGGTGAATCCCCTGGGGACTCTGCCAGGCTTAGGGGGCCTCTTCCACGGAGCTCGCTAGGAATCACGTGCTGACGGGCGCCGGCACACAGCAACTCTGCCCATTTCGCCTTGCAGGGAGGTGCCATCGCCATCCTCACGGCTGCCGAGAGGCCATGCCACTTTGCTGGCATGGTTCTCATTTCACCTTTGGTTCTGGCCAGTCCTGAGTCCGCAACAACTTTCAAGGTAAATGGATTTCTGTTTCTGTGAAACTCTTGCATTTCCTTGGCAACTCCGGGAGCTGGAGTCGGGGATAAAGGGCGGGAGTCCATTTGGACACCTATCAAACGTGATTGCCACCAGGGTTCTATAATTTTTATAATCAGAGGCTTCCCACCCCCGACCCCCCAAAGACAAAGGAAAAATGACTGCCTGTGTGTGTATGTTTTACTCGTGACTGTTGAAAGGAGAAAAGATTTCCTGTGCTAGGAATCCCAGCGAAATAACCTGTGTGAACAAGCCACACGCAAGTTGTGTGCTAACGTCAGCCAAAAGTGCCCCGTAAGTGGACTTGCAGGCTATTGGTAATTGCAACATAGAGTGATGTTCACCTTCGCTCTCCCCCATCCCAGAGCACTTTCCCCTCCCCTGTTCTAAGCCGGCCGGCATTTCGTTTTTCTGGTTGTGATGTTTCACAACAGCATGTGTGTACGCCTCTTGGTCCTGGGGCTTTGAGCTACGAGGCAAACAAGCCGATAACACTATCACCCGAGGTAGAGCAGGCGCCTTCCTCCTGAGAAAGGAGAGGAGCAGGGCTGCTTAATGGTGCATGTGGGTTGTTGACATGTGATGGGCCTGCCCTTGCGGGGCATGACGTTTGAGAGAAATAATAACCCAATGAGAGTAGAGAATCCCTAACCTGTGTATCTCCAAGGCATGCTCTATCTCACCTGAGAGCTAGGTGGGCCTGCTGCCTCCTGAGCCAGTTCCTGGGACTCTCAAAGGAGCACGAAGGGTGAGGCGGTGGGTCACAGGGCCAGGGGGAACTGGGCAGCCATTAGCCTATGTGCTTTCCCTACCTTCCCCCGCCTCATCATCCAGTGACAGTGAGATCATTTAAGTCATTGCTTTAGCTCAGGTGCCTTTGATATTCTGAGGACCCAAACAGAGGAACACAGCACAGGGAGTGAAACGTGACCTTGTCAAAATGTCCTCACATGTCTCCTGTAGCCCACAGCCACAGATGTAATGCCTAGAGATGGGCTGGCAGGTCCTGTGGATGGGCTTTCAGTGAGGTACAGAAAATGTCACCAGTTTCAATGAGAACAGGCTGAGCAAAAGATAAGCCTGGAACCATCTGATACTTTAACCAGAAAAACAACAATTTATTTAATTCGAGGAAGAGGAGAGAGGGCTAGCTCTTTTGAGTCTGACTCAGTTTCAAGGAAATCACCCCTGGCTTATTGCAATCGACCAGCAATAGTGCATTTTAGTGCCGTGTGGGGCAGCTGCGAGGCGGGATCCACGTGTGTCTGCCATGGAAAGAAACAAGGTCACCCACAGAACCAGAGGTGGCCTTTAAGTGTGCCAAAGGGGACACCACCTCCTGGGCACCTCCCTTCGTGACGACGATTGCACAATGTAAGCCAAATCAGTCACGGGCTCTCGTCCAAGTAGAATAAGCAAGACCGGGGTCTCAGAGGAGAGGGAAGTTCCTTCTGCCGTCCATGTGCTTGGAGTCACGTGCCTGAGATTTACTGAGCTCAGAGAGTGCCAGGCATGTGCTGTACTTCTTTATCTCACTTAACTCCCATCATCAGTCCGTGAACTGATGGTGGGAGAGGTCATGGAGAGGTCACGGCCTTCCTTTGATGGATGGAACACTGAGGCTTAGGCTGGATGAGTGACTCTCCCAAGATTACACAACTCCTGCGATGGATTTGAATCCGGGGCTGTCCATGCCTCATCCAGGGTGCCTCCCCATAGGAGGAACTGGATGTTTTTCCTTAGAGAAAAGCCAGGGACTGGGGGTGCTTATCAGATGATGCACACACAGGTCATGGTAGCTGAGCCCTGAGGTGGAGCCGGTAAGGTTTCCTCCCAGAGTCACTGATGGAGGCAGGATTTCTGGGCAAGGCTACAAGAACGTGACCTTTCCGAGCCCTGTGCTGATAGATCACCTTCTCAGATCAAGGGCCAGCTGTCCCTGGAGGGAGGCAGGTCTCTCCCTATTGACCAACACAAATAGATTTCCTGTTGCCTTCAGACCTGAGGGCACGTCCTACCTACCATGGGTTCTGTTGCTGCCTCTGGCTGTTGGGCAGTTTTGACTGATAGAGTCTTTGATTCATCTGTCTACCCACCCCAGATGACTTGATCGCCCTGCACACATCTGGTCCTGTCTGGCAACCTTCCAGAAAGAGTCTCATTGAATCTTTTTTTTTTTAATTTTTTTTTAAAGTTTTGTATAATACATTTACCCAAGGGAACACTCCCTTCCTAATTTGAAGGAGGGCAGCCAGAATTACAGAGGGAGTGGATGCATCTTCTGTGGACATACATACACACTCCATTTGTTCCTGCTTTACACCAATGGAACCCACTGTGGGCTGAGCCCTGGATTAGGTGAGGCCCCACTATGGGATAGGCTGTGGGTTAGGTGAGGCCTCGCTGACCAAACTTTGGGCTGTTTATTTGCAGTGGTTTGCTCTAATGGGCCCAAAGGTGGACAGATTGCCACAGACCCTCTCTTGCTGAGAAAATTAAGGCTCAGTGGGACCTTTCTGAAGGTCAGTGGCGCTGTCAGGGGCCACAGAATGCAGAGCCTCATGACTCCTCGCCCAGAGCTCAGCTGAGGACGTTTCAAAGGTTTGTTTCATGGCCCGAGTTGCTGCTGTAGAGATTCTTGAAATCATTAAAGCAGGCAGCATGAGGTCTCAAACTTCTCAGTGCAGAGGGTCATGTGAAAGGTGGCAGAAGACTGTTGACATAAGAAATGTCTAAACCTGAAGAGGATTTCTATGAATTTATTGGAGCCAAAATGATGGCATATGCTGAGGCACAAAATGTCAAACAGTTATGCAGTTTCTTTTATGCATTTGAAATTAAAGCAAGAACTTAAGAAATATTATATAGAGGTGGGAGAAAAGCAAGGCGGGGACCAGATGACAGGATCAGATTTGCTGTCTTGGTGGTTTATCTGAAAAGGAGGGGTGTGAAAGAGGGCATTTCAAAGGTGTGTTAACCTAGAAGCGCAGAAACAATGGACAGGACTTGCTTAAAGCAAAGCCTTTTAGTAAAGAAGATATATGCCTGGGGCATGACTACCCACCATGATCTGTCCAGTTAGGAATTTATAATAAAATCACTGTGAGGTTACTCTCCATAGAACTCCTTTTTTGTCCACATTCCCTACCTTGAAATGTGAGAATCCCAGATATCTCTTCCCCCCAACCCCACCCCCCCTTCCAATCCTGTACACAGCTGGTTTTCCCCTTGATGCTCTGTTTTCAACAAGCTGGGTTGGGAAGAGGCTTCTGGTCTCCAAACACTGTGTTAAGAACATGGTTGCACAAGAGAAATGAGAGCAGGAGAAATTTAGAAACAAAAATGTAGTGCATTAGACCAAGTCTCTGTTGTTTATGCGGCCATTTCACGGGGATGATGCCCTGGGGAAGACAGGGCTGGAGTAAAACCGGAAATAGAGGGGAAACGTTTGGCTGCCCAGATAGGAGGATGTCAAACTCTGAGCTAAACTGGGATCTCCTCACCTGATCTAGCCCAGGAGGACACCGGGAATGTGCAGCAGGCTGTAGCGCACCTCCTTTCTCTGAGAGTCCCTGGGGTCAGGACCAAAATGGCCCTGGGCAGAACCTGGGGTCAGGATGGGGCTCAGCCTGCTGGGAGGCGAGTCTTCTAAACGACCTTCCTGACTGTGGCCTGGAGGTTGTCTCATGGGGTCCAGGGTCAGATGCAGATGCCAGCCCACTGCTTCCAGATGCTTCCACTCACTGCCAACCAGGGCACCTGGCCAAGTAGGGAGAAGTGAGTGGCCACGATAAACCTAGCATGCCTTGGTTGACGTCCTCTCCATTACCATCCTATAAGGAGGGACAATTAGTCACAATTTAGGCAAGGAAATGAGGCCCATTGTCTTGCACAGGGTCAGCTCCGCTAATCATTGTGGCAGGATGCTCCCTTTCACCCCAAACCCGCCCAAATCGGGTCTCCTTAACTTTAGCCCACTTCCCACGTGAATGCCACGCATCTGTGTGTTTTTTGTTGTTGTTTTTTGTTTTTTTTTAAAAATATATTTTATTGATTTTGTACAGAGAGGAAGGGAGAGAGATAGAGAGTTAGAAACATCGATGAAAGAGAGTCATCGATCAGCTGCTTCTTGCACATCCCCCACTGGGGATATGCCCGCGACCAAGGTACATGCCCTTGACCGGAATCGAACCCGGGACCCTTCAGTCCCCAAGCCGACGTTCTATCCATTGAGCCAAACCAGCTAGGGCCGTGGTTCTCCTGGCAGCTAAGGAAACAGAGGCTCGGTGATGGTCAGCACAGCCAGGAATCAAGTCAGGTCTCGCTCCCTCCACCACATGTCTGATCGGGCTTGGTGACCGTTTGTTTCCCTCCAAGAGAGACCACGACAGTCGGCAGATTCTTTCTGATCAGAGCAGGCTCCTTTGGAGCCTTCTAAGCACTCTGGCTTCCCTCTCGGGTGACTTAGGTGATGCTGCTCCTGTTGTGTGTTTTTTAGAATCTTCTGAGAAGTTTTTTAGAATCTTCCTCTGATCGTGTACAGAAGAGCTCACCGGAGCAGCTCCTGCAAATAACTCAGAATCACCCCTGATGAGTGATTGTGGGGGGAGGGGGCCTACCACACAGAATCCGGAGCAGCAAACACAGACGTGGCATCCCCAGCGACAGCCCCAGTGACCACTCTCGCCCACTCCCACAGGGATCTGAATCAGCCTCACTCAAGGCTGTCTGAGTCAGAGCAGGGAGAATCCTGGTGCACTCAGCCTTGGGAAGCAACCCTGGCTGGTGTTCAGTTTGGGTGTCACTTCCCTTAATTTGCTGTAAACTGTCCTGTGGGCAGAGCTGGGCACGGATCCTACTGCACTCACACCCTTGTTTTCCTCCCTGGTTAGGTCCTGGCTGCGAAGGTCCTCAACGTTGTCCTGCCAAACATGTCCATGGGCCCGATCGACGCCAGAGTGATCTCTCGGAATAAGACGGAGGTGAGACTCTTTCTGAAGATCAGGGGGTCGCTGGGGCTGGCGAGGGCATGAGGGCAGCAGCCCAGTGGGAAATCTGAGCGTTCTCTCTGTCGGTGGCATGGTGCTGCCCCGTGGCCGAGGCCCTGAAGGAGGTGATGGGGACGTGAAGGTGCGGGAGATGCTCTCTGGGTCAGGATTGGGAGAGGATGGATAAGTGGTGGTGATGCCTGAACTGAGCCCTGAACATGCAAAGAAGCTAACCAGACGGAGTTGTGTGCCTATCAGCCAGGTCTCTTTGGGTTGTAAGTGACAGAAACTTAACTCAATGCTTTAAGCAAATTTAAAAGTGAAACCTATTGGTGAATACACCAAAGGCCTCGGGAATGGGTGAATCTGGGGGCTCAAAAGTCTTGTTCACCATCCACTCTCCCAGGTCTCATATCCCCTGGTTTGGCTCCATTCCCAACCAAGCTTTGCCCAAGTGGAGGCAGAGATGGCTGCTGGCAGCTTTACATGAGCCACCCCCGTGGGAAGGTAGCAGCTCTCTCCAAGAACGGTCCCAGGGCTGATTCTTACTGGCTGATTGTCCAAGCCTGAGTTCTTTGTCCAGGAAACGGGTGTCAACCTCACCCAACTTCAAGGATGGAGTGAATGGAAGGGGGGCAAAATTGGGATAGAGTTTCGGAGGACAGAAGAATGGATTCAGGCCAGACTGAGTGCCCTGTGGGCTGTGGGAGTGGTGCAGGGCTAACAGGGAGTCAGAGGGAAAGGTTCTGGTGGAGGAAATGGCACAAGTAAAGAGCCCTGGTGTGGAGAGAGGACAACCCATTTGCAGAACAGCCACGAGTTTGGTTCAACCACATGTAGGGCAGCAGGTGAGTGTTGAGGACTAAAATGAAGTCAGATTATGAGGTTACCCATGAACCCTATCTTCCGGGAGCCACCGCCCTCCTTGCCAGGAGCATGCTGTAGCCCTCTGAGCAGTGTGGCCTTCTAAACCAGAGAAAGGAAGCAAAACCAGAGAAAGGAAGGGGAGGGGAGAAAAGCCAACTGAGGGAAGCTTAGAAAGAAGAGACTAAGTGGCTTTGGAGAGATAAGCCGGGAGGCTGTGCCATCAGTCAATGCCATTGCCTCTGAGACCAGGCAGGAAGGTCAGCCTGGGCAAAGATCAAGATCAACAATGTGGGCTCTGGCCAGTGGTAGAGCATCTGCCTGCACACTGAAGGGTCACAGGTTCCATTCTGATCAGGGGCACATACCTGGATTACAGGTTCATTCCCAGGCCCAGCCGGGCCCATGGAAGAGGCAATGAGGCAACCAATCCATGTGTCTCTCTCACCTTTCTCCCTCTCTCTCTCTCCTCCCCTCCTCTCCCCTTTTCCCCTTCCTCTCCCTTCCTCCCCCCTCCTCCCTCCCTCCTTCTACTCTCTCTAAAAAGCTATAGAAAAAAATAACCTTGGAGAGGTTTAACAAAACAAACAAACAAAAAAGATCAACAGTGTGCCTGAGACACTGGGTCTGAACAAAGTTCAAAACCCCAGAAATTGGGGTTCATCTATTAAGACACTGCTCAATGAACCAGCCCACCCCCCAAAGTTGAATACAAGACCAGCACCTATCCTGCCTTTGATTGGGCCTCAGTGCTACACACACAGGTGGGCACATGTGCTTACCCCCCCCCCAAGGCAGCCCCAGATGGGTAGACTGAGGCTCTGCAGGAATGGAGGACTTGTCTGGGTCATCCGCTGGTGGGACCAGCCTGAGAGCTTAGTGGGTGTAGTCCCAGCCCGCACTGTCTGTGGGACAGCAGCCCCCTGCAGACTTACAGCTAGGGGACAGGCAGCAGCCCTAGGCCTCTGGAGGACCCTGGGATTATCTCCAGGATTAAGCACTTCATTTTGCCGCTCCTCTGCCTCAGCTTCCCATCTTGCCTTAGGGATTTGAAATCATGAAAGCGGTGGCTTCCTAGGACCCTATAAAACAGAATGGGTATTCTAGCTTCCCCAGGTTTCCTTGGGACTTGAGCAGCTGGAGTTCAACTTTATTATGAAATTGGACCTCCTGGGCCTCTGAGAGTCACTTAGAGAGTGGGCACATCAATTCGAATCATCCCCAATGTGTATAAAGGAGACATTCTTTTTCTTTTTAACTTTAAAACAATATATTTTTCTTTATTGATTTCAGAGAGGAAAGGAGAGGGAGAGAGAGAGAGAGAGAGAAACATCAACGACAAGAGAGACTCATTGGTTGTCTGCCTCCTGCATGCCCCACAATGGGGACTGAGCCTACAACCTGGGCATGTGCCCTGATCAGGACCCTCCTGGTTCATAGGTCAACGCCCAGCCACTGAGCCACACCGCTCGGGCTAAAGGAGACAATTTGGATCAAGTTAAAACTCCCAGGCTTCCAGGGCCAGGAGGGCCTTATGAATTAGGCTGGTGTGAGGCCCTAGGGAGTGGTGGGACCTGTGGGGAGCCAGAGGCTGTCAGATCCACCTGAGTCATCCGCATTCAATTTTAATTTAATCTGAGTTTTAAAAACCACAGTGCCTCCCAAACCCACGTCTTGGGGCCACAATGGACCAGGGTCGAAGAATAGGTGAGTAAAGGGAAGGAACATGTAACTCCATCTTGCAGTTCTGTATGTTCAAAAGGCACAACTTTAGGACCCAGAAAAACCAAAGGCAAGCATATGCGGTTTGATTTAATCCCAACATGAAGCCCAACCAACATTAATCTCATTTCACAGGAGTGGAAACTGTGGCTCAGAGGTTAAATAACTTGTCTCTGATTGCGCAGTCCGTCAGGGGCAGAGCTGGGATGTGAATCCATTTGATTCAAAAGTCCATGTTTGGGTGCCTCTTTCCAACTACTATCTACAATAATTAAGCTCTTTTTCCTTGTTTTTAAATGTATTGATTTTAGAGAGAGGAAGAGAGACAGAAAGAGGAGAGGTTGCCTCCTGCATGTGCCTCGACTGGGGATGGAACCCAAAACCTGGGTATGTGCCCTCACCAGAGAATCAAACTCGCCGCCTTTTGGTGCACAGGACAATGGACGCCCCAACCAACGGAGCCACACCGGCCAGGGCTCTTTTCCCTGCTTTATACTCACTCGTCCACACAGCCTGTGGCTGAGGGCCATGGCTCCGGGTGTAGATTCGCTTTGTGATGGGGCCCCCACCTGCCGGCATCCCCCATCATAGCCCCGACTTGAATGTGCAATCTCTAGTAAAACCAATTATTTTTGCAGCAGCTGCGCTAGGTTAAAGAGAGAGGGACCTCCCTTTGAGAGCTTTGAGAGGAAACATCCAGGTGCAAATGTAGTCATTTATCTCACCACCTGAAAGAACTGGAGCATAAAGAAAGGGCGGTGTGGGGGGGAGAGAATATAATGAAATTATTCCAAACCCTCTTTGTTTAAGTGTAGCAACTCTCAGGGTTTTTATCTCATTTTTGAAATAGTGGAAAGTTCCACTGAAGGCCTTACACACACCGAAGAGTCGGGTGTGAATACACGGCACACAGTCTCCCCTGGGATCCCGGTTGCATGCCCTTATGTATCGGGTTTCTGACTGGTCAGGTAAATGGGGTGATTCTTTAGAAACACTAATAGCCCTACCCTGTCTGGCTCAGTGGATAGAGCGTTGGCCTACAGACTGAAGGGTCCCAGGTTTGATTCTGGTCAAGGGGCACATGCCTGGGTTTTGGGCTCAATCCCCAGTAGGGGGTGTGGGGGCATGCAGGAGGCAGCCAGTTAATGATTCTCTCTCATCATTGATGTTTCTATCTCTCTCTCCCTCTCCCTTCCTCTCTGAAATCAATAAAAAACATTTTTTTAATAAGAAAAAGAAGGAAACACTAATAAATGTTCTTGTAGGAAGACTTAGAGGAAGGAGGTGGTTGGTGGCTGGTCAGCAAAAAGCTGAAAGCTGAACTCCTGTTGGAATGAATAGGAGCGAGCATTTCCATTCTCTTTGGCAGAGAGAATTCGCCTCTCACATGTCCAACTCTGAGTCTCCCTTTCAACCTTGTGCTGAGCTTTAAAAATAGCAACGCCCAGAGGGGAATGTGCTCAGAAAAGGCACCGCCTGGGATCTAACATCGGGTGTCTTAAGGCACAGCTTTAGCTAAGATATTTCCCATGGAGCCCTGCAGCGATAAAAGCTCAAAAGAGGAGAAACGTTTGCCTAACGAGCTTACTAAAGCAGGCCCTCGGAGGAAGGGTGCAGGCGAGGGGGTGGCGGATGGCAGACTCTTTGGAAGGCTGGCTCTGGGGAAACAGGCTGGCTCTGCCGTTCGAATGTCAAAAGCAGGATATCTGTTTGGGGTTTGCTCTGGCAAGTGTACTCACAACCCACCCAGGGCTGTTAGCACGATGCCCTTCACCAGCATCACTTCACGGCTGCCAGCCCACAGATGCACATTCTTCTGGCCTGCATGGCCTCTGGGAGGATTGTCCTCACAACTCAGTGCTCAATGGCTGCTCCCTTCTCCTGTGTCAGACTAATCCTTCGGTCTCCCGGTCTCCCGCAGCTCCGAGAAGACAGTCTCATTACCAGCATTTGCATTTGTAAAAAGCGTGGGCCCAGACAGGGCTAGTCATTTACCCGAGGTCACACAGCTACTTAGTAAGGATTTAAAATCAAATCTCTCTGCTCTGAGCCAAGCACTCTTGGCACTAAAATCCTGGGAACAAAGAAGTTGCTACTGTCAGACATTTTTTGGTTGTTGCTGTTTGTCTGCACATTTAGAGTCCCTGATCAGAACACTGGAGAACTGACATATTAATCATTCCGTCCTCGGAATGTGATGAATCCCTCCCACTCTGAAAAGCCTTGAATGCTCCTAATAGTTGTCAGGCCAAGGATGTGGGTGACAGTGAGTGTGTGGGGGGAAGAGGGGGTGGGGATGGGGCGATAAAAAGGGGATTTGCTCAGCGTCTCCACCTGCCCTCATGCCACACCATTGCTGACCGTGCAGTTATGAACAGAATGCACTGTTTCTTCCCAAGCTTCATCCT